CTTCGTTATTAGGCTTGGGTAAATTTTAATTTAATTCCAAACCAAAAATAATTAGGTTCGGATTACCATAAATATGTTGATTATTTATGGTCATGTTACATGTATTAATTTGCATTTTAATATCATTCCTTATTATAACAATTGAATTGTATATATATTTTAAAAGTTAATAACTTTTGTATTTTTTATCAGTTTTACCTATGTAATATATCAAATTAATCTTATTTTAATATAATTTTCTCATTAATTTTAAAATTTAAGAATAATTTTTTAACAAACACCCGTGTAATACACGGGTGTTGTACTAGTAGTATATTTATTGTATCATATACATAAAAGTAACAAAAATAAATATTGTATATATATTTTTTCGTGTGAATAATATTGTATCTAATAATAAATATTTATCACATAAATATATATGTATACATATTTTTATTTTCAAAATAAAAATTATTTTTAAAAAAATGATGACCAAGTCAAACTGGACTGGCCCCAATCGGGACAATTCCAGGTGTCACTTGACCAGAAATACCTACTTAAACCGGTCCCGACTCTAGACCGACACCTACTCAAACTGATCCCGACTCCAGACCAACTCGCCGGGCCGATCGAGTTGGAAAAACAGTTCCCAAGTGCTCCCATAGTAGTGGAAGGGTCTCGCACTTCAAAATTCAAAATGGTGAAATAAAACCAAAAGAAAACAAGGGAAAAAAAAAATGAAAAAACCTACTGTACGGAAAAGGAAAATTTAACTAAGAACGCTAGAGGAAGGGCTTGAACCTTCGACCTTGTGGTTAACAGCCACACGCTCTAACCAACTGAGCTACTCCAGCTTGATTTGTTATCATTTCCTAGTTAGTTCTTCTCCTACACATTTACTTTTTTGGTTACCATTTTTATTTACATAGCATTTAAAGGTAAACCAATTATTAACACACACTTATGCGATTTCACATCTGCTCTAATAGTTCCAAGTACCAATTATTTTTATTCATTGTTTACTAATTTAATTGTATGTTACAACTTAATTTAATAATTTGATATCTATCTAGCTTTCCATTGTATATTCAATCAATATCTCATAAGTTCTCCAATCATCACTCTTCATAATTACTTTGATCACACCTTAAAGCCAAAATGGGTTTCAACAGACGCACGTCCTCCGGCCAATATTGCAACATAATCACGGTACTTTTTTCAGCTAAAACATTCGCCAGCAATCTCTGAAAATGTTCAAGTTTAAAAGTGAAACGTTTGAAAAGGCAGAAATCAAATCCTACTCTCGTCCCAACATTGTGTACTAAAAAACAACAGTCTACAAACAGCATACGAAGCACAGCATCGCGAAAATACATTCAGCTGATGCACGATACTAAACAAAATAAGCTACCGACAAATTTAAGGACTAAATAACATCCCATCAAACGCAAACAACCAATGGCAAGAAAATTCGCTTCAGCCAAATCAAAGATCGACCGAAAAGTAACGAGAATGCTAACCCAAATTAGACCCCGCACAGTAATAATACTAATTTAATCAGCTTTTCAATCATCATGATTAACATCGAGATTCTTGAATTTCTTCTCGATTTCATCCTCGCTGTCTTCATCATCCCCGCCCTCCCTGTCATCATCATTCTCATCAGGGTCATTCTCATCCAACGGCCCCAGTTTATCAGGACAATCTTCAAATATACACTTCAGCTCGTCGATATCCTCATCCAAAATGCAGTTCCCATTCAAATTCAACAACTTGAACTCAGGCAGGCTCACCACTCTCCTGGCCAAGACTTTAGCCGCAGCTCGTATGGAGTTCATGCTCAGATCAACTTCACTCAACCGGTCTCCAAAAGCCTTGCTTATCTGGACAGCACCATCGTCCTTGAGATCATTTTCCGACAAATTCAACTTCACGAGACCCTTCTTACTAGAAATGCAAGCAGCCAAGCTGGGAGCAGCCTCGGCAGTTATATCGTTTCCCGCCATCTCCAAAACACACAGTGACGGTGCCGAGTCCTTCAAGGCATCGGCTATTGCAATTGCACCATCGTCCTCCAAATTCAAGTAGCTCAAATAAACCTCAGTAAGGTGCTCGGGATTGTGGAGAGCCTCACTCAGCTTAACACCAGCCTCAACCCCAAACATGTTGTCACGAAGATCCATTTTCTTCAAGTTCTTGCATTTGGAAAGGGCCACAGAAAGGGCAATGCCTCCTTCAGACCCGACCCTAGTGGACGAGCAACGGAAATCCTCTAAAAGAGGGCATCGCATAAGAATTTCGGAAATTGCAGCAGCACCCTCATCCCCAGTCATGTTATTGTGAAACTGAAGGACCTTAAGTGATTCTGTGGAGGGAACTAACTCACACACTGCTTGAGATGCTTCCTTGGAAATCCCATCATTCATCAAATACAGTTCCTCCAATTTGGTCTGAGATTTCAAGAGCTTCCCAAACGCTCTGACTCCCTTCTCGCCAAGGGCATTGTCGGAAATATTAAGATACCTCAGGTCGGAACCTTCTAAAGCTTCGGAAAAGATTTTCATCACGTCCAGCGCCTCTGCCTCGGGCCGGCCCGCAACAAAATCCGATAAGTCCACCTCCTTCAGGTGGTTCTTGATGGATGCCAGGATGGGCCCGGCAACACGAGCCGCCCCAAGTCCAAAGCTCCGGTTGCTGAAACATATCTTGGTGTAATGATTTTCAGGTTCACTCAACGGGCCCAAAAGCGTTCGGGCCTCATCTTCCTCTATAAAAGCCCGCTGACCTTTGGAAATGTCGAAAAGGGTTTCAGGTTTTGTTAAGGGCTCTTCTTTTACGTCTAGTTTGGAGCCTCCACCTTTGAGCACGTCCAGTATGAGCCTGCTGCACTCCCCGGCATACAGCTGGACAGCCGAATTTCCATCCCCATCTGGCTCCTGTTCATAGTGCTGGCTGGCGGTAGCAAAAGCCAACTTCTCGATTTCCTTAGCGTGTTTTGTGGCCTTAGGAACTTCCAGGCTGCCATACCTACGGGTGAAGATTGTGGAGTTGGAGAGGTTGTTGGTCATCCGCTCGACAAGCATCTGGCGGGTGTTCTCACTTGGGGGCCAGAGCTTGATGGTGATGCGGCGGCGTTCCCCATTAGTTTTCTTGGCATCCATCACAGCCAGAAGCAAAGTCTAAATAATGTGTTAACAAGTATTAGAAATGCTAACAAATCCAAAACTAGAAAGAGTGCAAAATTCTGGTTTTAATCGAACACAGATTATGAAATAGGAGTCTCTCTAGCCAAATAAATTAGATTATAGGCAAGAAAGAACTCAATCTGCAAATGAGATAAAGACATTGATGTTTTACGAGCAAGAAAAGAAGCAGAAGATTGAGTAATACATCGAGTAGCTAAAATTTAATTAACATCAGAGCTAATCCATTCATGGTTAAAATTATCGACAGTATTGAACTTATTATCCTTAGCAAAAAAAGTTACCTACTTGAGAATGAACAATCCAACCCGTTTCAATGTAAACTTTTACCATGATCATATTGCAGTTTACTTGTTCATATTTGTTCACAAATTAAATATATTTTTTCTTTGATTTTGGTTAAATATAACGATTGCTTCTGTTGTGAGATCCCTTTTAGTATTTAGTAACACTACGTTCGGCCTATACCAGAACGGCCATCATATGACAAGCATCGACTATCTCTTCCAATGCAGTAGATTTAAGATGAGATTGAGATGGTTGACATTTATGTTCTTTACAGATTAGCATAATAGAGTTCAGCACACGTCACTTTCATCACGCAAAATATGATGTTATCCTAAAATATCGAGAAGAATCTAAAATCCGAAGGTAAACAAACAACTAACAGAACCATTTTTTCCGAGGAAACTTCACGGCATTATACCCGAAACCAAAATCTCACTCAGTTACAAACTAAAACGAGCTCAAGTTAAACTTACACGACAGCCAAGTACATTTTTCCGAAGTCCATAACATCACTAGCATATAGTAACTACACATTTATTTCACTTCAATCACTGCACCAATCACATTTACGGATAATAAATTAAAAACACACAAATTTGCATTTACTTCTTCCTCCATCATTCCCATTTCTCACTCCTATTCGCTAAACCCTAGATTCAATGAAGCTATGAGCATCAGTATACAACAGATCCAAGATAAAACCATAAATCAGTTTGTTCATTCAAAGCGTGAAGTGTAGATCAGAAACCCTAAAACCCATCCCAAATCTTGAGGAAATGAAGGTAAACAAGGTTCGTATGGAAAGAGTGGCAAAACAACGGCGACGGAAAAGAAACAGAGAGTCGATGAGAATGAAAATTTTTACCTGTTATCGACGTGATTTCTGGATTTTCTGAGGAAGTTGCGGCTGCCTCCGGGTGGTGTGTGGGGTAAATGGGAGGAACAGAAAACTCAAATGCAAATGTTTTGAGGGGGAAAGTGAAAATAAAATAATGTTGACAAACATAATTTTATTTTTTGGTTCGGTTGGACCCTTACCGGGTTGACAACATACCGAATGTAAAATATATACTAGTACAACACCCGTGTATTATACGGGTGCTTGCTAATCTTTTTATTAAAATTTAAAATTAATGAGAAAAAATAGTTAGAAAATTTAAATACTTTTTACAAGAATATATATATTTATATTATTATATATTTATTATGATACTTTTTATTTGTGCAACTTACTTGTGTTATATTATACTAACTTTTTTTAACTTACAATATATATAACTACATTACAAACAAATACATCACTTGAGAAATAATTTTATTTTTCAAATGAATTTTAATAAATATTAGTATTTTTATTTTTATTATTATAAAGATAAATATAATTTATTTATTTCATATATACAATATGGATGTCAAATCGAATATCATCAAAAGATAATTAATTTGATATATTATATATGTAAAACCGATAAGAAATACAACAGTTATCAACTTTTAAAATACATTTATAATTAACAAATCAAAATTCATGGATATATTAGTCACTTAGTGCCTCACTATGTAAAATTACAAAAAATTAAAAGGTTATATTAGTAAAAGTGATATTAAAATACCTAAGTTAGTTAAATAATATTTATGGAATACTCGAACCTAGAATATTAATTATTAATATATCAATATTATTTATTCAAACCTAATTACGAAGCATGATTCTTCGCCAAATAGGATTCCGAAGCACCAGAAGCAGCCACGTAGGCTCAACGCATTCTGGAATTATATATAGGGAGGATATTGTAGTATTATGAGAAGGGATCATGTGAGAAAAAAGAATAATGAAAGAAATAAAGTGATTTTAGATCATTGGATTTATCAAGTCAATAGTCATGATCAATTCAAATTCAAATATTAATAATGATAGTAAAAAATGGGATGACAAATTGACAATATAATAAATAAGTGGACTGATATTGTACTCATTAAGGGTAAATATGTCATTAATCATAATTTCACTTACCAATAGGACCGAACCCCAACCCCAACCCCAACCCCAACCCCTACTAACCTAACATCTCTCTCACACACAAACACACACCTGCACACACCTACCCTACGCACACACATCCTACCCTCTCTCTCACACACAACACACACTACACACACCGGACGCGCGCCTGCACACACACACACA